CTTCATTGATTTTCACCCCCCCTCTTGGACACCCCCCTCTTGGCCGCTCCCGACTTTAATTAGGCGCGATCGGGGACAAGGTTTAATTGTCGATCGACGGCGGCAAAGACCGCGAGGTCGAGGACAACGGCGGCGACGGCAGCGGCAGCGTCGTCCTCGTTGCCGCCGCTGCCGGGGTTTCCTCCAGGGCCCCCGCTTGCCCACAGCTGGCCGAGGGCATCCAATTGCCCCAGCAAGCCACCCTACAGTCAAGATGCTACAGGTTGGGTTCGGAAGGGGCTCGATGTTCCTTAGGTTCCTCCAGTGCTGTTCCTAATGCCCTCCTGGGGCACGGAGGCGCTTACAGGGCCAGGAAGGGGTTTCGTTCATTATTTTGCGTTCCTTCTTTCAGCGGCCCGACTGTAATAGCAGCAAAGGTGAAGAGGCGGGTCGAGGACGGGGCTGCGAGAAAGGCTATCTGCATCTGATTGTATTCCTTACATGGGGTCGTGGCCGTCCGGACCACACGTGTGGGCGGCATTGGAGGCGAGAGCACGATTCCTGAATCGGTTGCGAGGAAGTCTCGGGCGAAAGGGCTGCCCCCGTCCCCCTTCGGAGTTCCTCTGTAGTCCTGCTGTAACATCCGCCGCTCTGCGGTTGATCGGGAGTTTCTGTATATATAGAAGAAGGGGCGCGCGCTTCTGGGCGAGAGGGAAACGATCGAGAGAAGAAGGGGCGCGCGCTTCTGGGCGAGGCTCGCGAGGGGGCGACCCAGCGGTGAGAAGTCAGCGAAAATCGCGCGCCCCGAGAAATCTCCTCCTCCTCCTCCTCGTCCTCCTCCTCGTCCTCATCATCGTCCTACCGCATCCTCCTCCTTGTCCTCCTCCTCCTCCTCCTCCTCCTCCTCCTCCTCCTACTCCTGTCCATCCTCCTCCTCCTCATCGCACTCCTGGTCCTCCACCTCCTCCTCCTCCTCCTCCTCCCGCACCCGGGTCCTCCTCTTCCGCCTCCTCCTCCTCCGCCTCCTCGTCCTCCTCCGCCTGCTCTTCCTCATACCACATCCTCGGCCCCCACGGCCCCAAAGAGTCCCAGCCCCGTCCCCAGATCCGTCTTTGCTGTGTCATGATGCCAGATCGCGGCACCGAAGGCCGAAACCGAGGAAACGCACCAGGGTTGAAAGATTCGTACCCTCGGAGATCAGGGCCCTCCGCCGCCTCCTCCTCCTCTTGCTCGTTCTCCTCCTCCTCCTCCTCCTCCCCCTCCTCCTCGTCCTCCACCACGTCCTCCGCATCCTCCTCTGTCTTCCCCTCTATCTCCTCCTCTTCATCTCCCTCCTCGTCCCCCGTCGCCTCCTCCCCGTCCTCCTCCTCCTCCTCCTCATCCGCCTCCTCCTGCTCCTCCGCCTCCTGCTCCTGCTCCTCCTCCTCCTCCTCCTCCTCCTCCTCCTCCTCCTCCTCCTCCGCCTCCTCTTCCTCCTCCTCCTCCCAATCCTCCGGAACCCCCCTGCTACTGCTGCTGCTCCTCCTCCTCCTCCTGCCCCAACGGCCCGAAAAAGTCCCGACCCCTTCCCCAGATCCGTCTTTGCTGCGCCGTGATGCCATAACGCGGCACCGAAGGCCGCATGCATTAACTTAAAGCGGGCGCGTTACGTTAGGAGGAGGGATCAAGGAGAGGAGGCCGGCGAGGGGGGGGCTGTGCCCATCCGAGGGAACGGGGCAGCCCCCCCCGCCCCAAAAAAAGTTTGGGCCCCCCAAGGCCCCCCCCGCTCCACGAATCCCATTGGGGGGTCGAGATCCCCGCTCTGCAGTGGGATTCGCGGAACGGGGCGCCCCCCAGGTGCCTCTTATCTTCGCGCTGGCGCCGGCAGTGTGCACCTGAGGGAGCGTGGGTTGAAATGAGTGAGGGATCAGGAAGGATGTGGAGGGGCGTTCCGCTCTGAAGCGTCCTCACAATCTGGCCAAACCGCAACCCCTCCCCGGGGGTACCGCGCGTGCTGGACCAGGCACATGCGTCGCCCTAAGTCGGCGCGCACATATGAGAGGCCCATGTCTGTCCACCAAGAAGACCACGGAGAACCCACCAAGAAAACCCGTCCCCCAGGAAGGCCCGACGTGGCGAACAGGAGGCCCGAATAATTCGTCCGAGGGGCTCCCGAGAAGGGCGCACGGAGCCGTCCAGGGAGGCCATCAGCCCTTCAGATATGCAAGTACAATAGTTCATGCAAGAATCCTTCCCTTGACCGCACTCCGCGGCCGGGCGCAGGCGCGGCCGGTCGGGACAGCCGGCCGGGGCAGCCGGCCGGGGCAGCCGGCCGCCCTCCCCTCCTCGTCCTCCTCCTCCTTCCCTCCTCCTCCTCCTCCTGGTGGTCCTCCCCCTCCTCGTCCTCCTCCTCCTCCTCCTGGTCGTCCTCCTCCTCCTGCTCGTCCTCCTCGTCCTCCTCCTCGTGCTCGTCCTCGTGCTCCTCCTGCTCGTCCTCCTTCTCCTGCTCCCCCTCCTTTTCCTCCTCCTGCTCGTGCTCGTCCTCGGCCTCCTCGTCCTGCTCGTCCTCCTCGTCCTCGTGCTCTCCCCTCCTCCTCCTCCTCATCCTTCTCCTTGTGGTTCTCCCCCTCCCCGGCCTGGGATTCGTCCCCGGATCCAGCGGATCCGTCCGGATCCGTCCGGAAACGGTGCCGGAGGCCGCTCTGGGCTCCTGTGGGCACCTCCCCCGGGGCCGGTTTTGCGGGGATGTCTCAGGCGAGGGCGCCGGTTTGGGATTCGCCCCCGGATCCAGCGGATCCGTCCGGATCCGTCCGGAAACGGTGCCGGAAGCCGCTCTGGGCTTCTCTGGCCACCTCCCCCGGGGCCGGATTTGCGGGGATGTCTCAGGCGAGGGCGCCGGTTTGGGATTCGTCCCCGGATCCAGCGGATCCGTCCGGATCCGTCCGGAAACGGTGCCGGAGGCCGCTCTGGGCTCCTGTGGGCACCTCCCCCGGGGCCGGTTTTGCGGGGATGTCTCAGGCGAGGGCGCCGGTTTGGGATTCGTCCCCGGATCCAGCGGATCCGTCCGGATCCGTCCGGAAACGGTGCCGGAGGCCGCTCTGGGCTCCTCTGGGCACCTCCCCCGGGGCCGGTTTTGTGGGATGTCTGAGGCGAGGGCGCCGGTTTGGGATTCGTCCCCGGATCCAGCGGATCCGTCCGGATCCGTCCGGAAACGGTGCCGGAGGCCGCTCTGGGCTCCTCTGGGCACCTCCCCCGGGGCCGGTTTTGCGGGGATGTCTCAGGCGAGGGCGCCGGTTTGGGATTCGTCCCCGGATCCAGCGGATCCGTCCGGATCCGTCCGGAAACGGTGCCGGAGGCCGCTCTGGGCTCCTGTGGGCACCTCCCCCGGGGCCGGTTTTGCGGGGATGTCTCAGGCGAGGGCGCCGGTTTGGGATTCGTCCCCGGATCCAGCGGATCCGTCCGGATCCGTCCGGAAACGGTGCCGGAGGCCGCTCTGGGCTCCTCTGGGCACCTCCCCCGGGGCCGGTTTTGCGGGGATGTCTCAGGCGAGGGCGCCGGTTTGGGATTCGTCCCCGGATCCAGCGGATCCGTCCGGATCCGTCCGGAAACGGTGCCGGAGGCCGCTCTGGGCTTCTCTGGGCACCTCCCCCGGGGCCGGTTTTGCGGGGATGTCTCAGGCGAGGGCGCCGGTTTGGGATTCGTCCCCGGATCCAGCGGATCCGTCCGGATCCGTCCGGAAACGGTGCCAGAGGCCGCTCTGGGCTCCTCTGGGCACCTCCCCCGGGGCCGGTTTTGCGGGGATGTCTCAGGCGAGGGCGCCGGTTTGGGATTCGTCCCCGGATCCAGCGGATCCGTCCGGAAACGGTGCCGGAGGCCGCTCTGGACTCGTGCTCTTCGCGCCGGGGGTGAGGATGACGTGAGTTCCACAGAAACTCCCTCAAACCACTGTGTGAACCTTCTAGCGAAACGCGGTCAGGGAAAATCCTCAAGCTTCGATCGCCGACGGCGACGGCAACGACTACGAGGTCGAAGGACGACGGCGACGACGGAAGCGGCGACGTCGTCCTTGTCGCCGCCGTCGTTGGGGTTGTCTGCAGGGCCTCCGGAGGCCCAAAGCTGACCGAGGGCTTCAAGTTATCCCAGCAAAGTACACCAGTAGCAGCAAGGGTGAAGAGGTGCGATGTCTGTTCATGAGAGCCTTGCGCGGGGACATCGAAATCAGCTCTTCCTGCGTTTGGGACCGCATTTGGCCCTTCCTCCTCTTCCTGATCGCCTGTCTTGTTCCTCCCCCTCCTCGTTCTCCTCGTCTCCCTGGTGAAGGGGCGACTCTGGTCCAACTACAGCCCAACTCTGGTCCCACTCACCGAGCGCGTTCCGCTTGTCGCAGAGTGCCTATCCCCAGACGTCCGAACAACAGTGCGTGTCGTAGATCCCCCGCGGCGGATCCAGGCAAATCGCGTGCAGCTACTTTGCGAGTCGCGGAACGCGCTCGCCTGCCCGCGTGTGTTCCAGCGTGGGTCCAAAGCAGGCCGAAAGCAGACAGCCCCGGGAGCCACGCGGGCCCCCACGGCACGGACACCGAAGCGGGTTGGGTTGGAGGAGGAGCGACGCCAATACGCCGCCAGGGGGCCCACCTCCGGCGAGGAGGTCCACGACGCCTCCCCCCGAGCTGGAGGCTGGGGGTGTCTCGAGCGAGAGGGCGGGGGCCACGCCACCAGGGAGGCCCCCCCTTGGCCTCCTCGCGCTTCCTCGCCCCTGGTGGTGCTGGCGTCGCCCGTCCTCGCTCCTCAGTGAGGCGGGCCGCCGCCGCCGCCGTCGTCGGGGCCGCAGCGGCGCTCTCGGGGGCGTGGCCCCGGAGAGAGCGCCGCCCTCGTCGGCGTCGTCCTCGTCGTCGTCGTCGTCGTCGTCGCCGCCGTCGCCGTCGTCGTCGTCGTCGTCGTCGTCGCCGTCGTCGCCGTCGTCGTCGCCGTCGTCGTCGGGGCCGGGCGGCGCTCTCCGGAGGCCGTCGGGGCCCCCGGGGGCGCCGAGGGGTGCCGCGGCAGGAGCGCGAGAGGCGGCGCCTGGAGGCGGCGCGGCTGAAGGCCTCGCGGGCGCGGCGGGCGGCCGCGCGGCCGTCGGGGGGCCCCGCCGCCCGCCTCGTCCCCGGGGGGCCGCCGCGGGGGCGCGGGGGCGTGCTCGGGAGCCCCCTCCTCGGTCCTCGAGCCTGCTTCCTCCTCCTCCTCCGCCTCCTCCTCCGCCTCCGCCTCCTCCTCCTCCTCCTCCTCCTCCTCCTCCTCCTCCTCCTCCTCCTCCCCCTCCGCCTCCTCCTCCTCCTCCTCCTCCCTCCTCCCTCCTCCTTCCTCTTCCTCCTCCTCTCCCCCTCCCCCTCCTCCTCCTCACTCCTCCTCCTCCTCCTCCTCCTCCTCCTCCTCCTCCTCCTCCTCCTCCTCCTCCTCCTCCTCCTCCTCCTCCTCCCCCTCCTCCCCCTCCTCCTCCCCTCCTCCTCCTCCCCTCCTCCTCCTCCTCCTCCTCCTCCTCCTCCTCCTCCTCCTCCTCCTCCTCCTCCTCCTCCTCCTCCTCCTCCTCCCCCTCCTCCCTCCTCCTCCTCCTCCTCCTCCCCTCCTCCTCCTCCTCCTCCTCCTCCTCCTCCTCCCCCCTCTCCTCCTCCGTCTCCTCCTCCTCTCCTCCTCCTCCTCCTCCTCCTCCTCCTCCCTCCTCCTCCTCTCCTCCCTCCTCCTCCCTCCGTCCTCCTCCTCCTCTCTCCTCCTCCTCCTCCTCCTCCTCCTCCTCGCCTCCTCCTCCTCCCTCCTCCTCCTCCTCCTCCTCCTCCTCTCCTCCTCTTCCTCCTCCTCCGCCTCCTCCTCCTCTTCCTCCTCCGCCTCCTCCTCCTCCTCCTCCTTCTCCTCCTCCTCCTCCTCCCTCCCGCGCAGCCTTGGGGGCCCCCGTCGCCCTCCTCGCCCCAAGAGCCTCTACTGGGGCGGGAAGCTGATTTCCAACGCCAGAAACTGAATAGTCATAAACTTCTGGAGCTCCGTGCGGATTTCTCCCGCCTGTTGGCGCCTCCAGCGCCGCCCCTGGCGCGCTCCACGCGCCATGGAACCCGTGCGGACCGATCCAAGGAACCCGTGCGGACCGTCGAAAGTTTGTGTCCGCAGTTTTTTCGTCTTTTGCTACTGGCCTTCGGCCCATCCCGCCACTGTGTCTGTGTCGGGGACCTCTTGGCCCGTTCGTGGGCGCTCTCGGCTCCGAGCAAGTCATGCGTGAAGCGCCGTGGAGGCGCGGAAGGCACGTGTGAGGATTTTTGGGCCCGGGTCGCCTGCTACCCAATCTTAATGATTGAGGATTGAAGACGATACGGGGCCTGAGGGCTCTATAACTCGTGCCTCGCGGCACCGTTGCGGATTCGTGGTTCGCGATTTGCGATTGCTCATCCTCATCCTAAGTGTTCGTCCTTCTCTTCTGCCCCCGGGGGGGGTGCGGTGCGAGTCGCGAAGTTGTTCGCCCCTCGCGCAGCGCGAAGCGCGAACTTCGCTGCCCGCGTGGGTCCTCGTTACCCCAGGCTGCCGCGCCGACTTCACTGCTTCGGTTCTCGCGTTGCCGCGCCACTCTCTCGGCGGGTAGGGCGAGCCTCCCGCGTGCCTCCCGCGGGCCCAGTCCAGATCCCGACCGCTCGCCCCCAGGGGAGGAGGCGAGGAGGGGTGAGGGGGCGAGGAGGGACGAGGGCGGCGAGGAGGGGGACGAGGGGAGGCGACGAGTTGCCGAGGGGAGATGGGGCCGAGGAGGGCGAGGAAGGATGAGCTCCTCCTCCTCCTCCTCCTCTTCCTCCTCCTCCTCCTCCTCCTCCTCCTCTTTCCTTGAGGGGAGAGGGCGCGAGGGCGGGGGGGGGGGGGCGGGGGAGCGCCCCCCCCCCCCCCCCCCCCCTCCCTGCAGGGGGTCTAAGGCAGGAGCGCCCCTCGCCCGCCGCGTGGCCGCCCCTCGCCCGCCGCGTGGAGCCCTGGGCCGGCGGAGGGGGGCGAGTCGGCCGAGACTCCCGGGGGCCCCCCTTCGTCGGCTCCTCGCTCCTCGTGCTCGATCCTCGATCCTCCTCCTCCTCCTCCTCCTCCTCCTCCTCCTCTCCCTCCTCCTCCTCCTCCTCCTCCTCCTCCTCCTCCTCCCTCCTCCTCCTCCTCCTCCTCCTCCTCCCTCCTCCTCCTCCTCCTCCTCCCTCCTCCTCCTCCTCCTCCCTCCTCCTCCCTCCTCCTCCTCCTCTCCTCCTCCTCCTCCTCTCTTCCTCCTCCTCCTCCTTCTCCTTCTCCTTCCTCCTCCTCCTCCTCCTCCTCCTCCCTCCGCCCTCCTCCTCCTCCACCTCCTCCTCCGCCCTCCTCGTTCTCCTCCTCCTCCTCCTCTCCTCTCTTTCTCCTCCTCCTCATGCCCCCCATCTACCAGAACGGTTTCAGCTTTGTATATCATATTTGTTTTTCTCCCCCCCCCCGAAGTCTGTGTGCGAGGCGGTCCGTGCAGCAGGGCATGCACACGCTTGCGGCCTTGAGAGCTTGTTCAGCCCTGCCATGCTCGAGAATCTAACGGCCATGGGACTACCTCGCCAGATGAGGCGGCTTGACCTTCTCTCGAGGGCTACTCTCTACCGCTTCGCCTGCAACTCGATCGAATTCTACCGCGCGAAGACGCGGATCCAGGCCATGGCCGCCAGCGACGAGTGCAACATTATTTGGGAGCGAGATCCGCTGTGGCCAGGCTCGTCTATGTTCGCCCTTGTCGCCAATTGCGATCAGCTGTGTGCCGTGCCCAGTGTGCCAGCCCCAGGGGCCCCGAGGTTCCAGGCAGCGACGGCACGTTGGCTGTATGGTTTAGCGCCAGGAGGGTACCGAGCTCCTCTGTTGTATCGGACGAAGCAGCTGGGTGTATCCTCGAGGTGCTGTGATCCTGACCTGGCTCTGATGGCCCTTGGACGATTTCCCTCGTGTGTTGTTGCTTCTGCTTCGAAAGCGTTTTCGAACAGCTGGTGCGGTTCGGCGCGACTTCGCGGGCCCACACTTGGCTGCGTGTTCTGCCTGGCGCCTGGGGCCGACCGTTTTCTGCACTGCCTGCCCTGTCGTGCTAGCTGGTGCCCAGGCCGTCTTCCGTCCTCCTGCCTCATTTCTTCCGGTCCCGGGGCCTCAGAAGGCCCCTTCTTTCCCGGTGGGCAGCTCCCTCGCAGGCTGAGCTCGCTGCCTGTTCTATGTTCCTAGGCTTCGCCGTTCGGTCGTAGCCTGGCGTGCGCTCCGCGCCTTCCCTGTCGCCCACGAGAGGGTGGGGGGCTCGGCGGCCTCAGGACCGGATGCGGGCCCGGCTGGGGCAGCCGTCTCGGCCTGCTGCTGGGGTAGCGCGGCAGGGCGGGGGACCCGGACTTTCTCTCTCTTCTCGCTGCTGCTGCTGCTGGTGGCCCGCCCTCTCCCCCTCAGCGGATGCGCTGCTCCTGGTTCCCCTCCTCCTCCTCTTCCTCCTCTTCCTCCTCTTCCTCCTCCTCCTCCTCCTCCGCAGTTGCACACTATGAATACTATTCTCCTTTCTCCCCCGATGACGTCCGGAAGATATCCGGCCCCCCGCCGCCTATTGCTTTTGTACACAGGGTTCCCGGGAGATGGGTTTTCGCTTGTGCTTTTGGTTTTCCAAAATGCTGCTCCCGCTGAAGCGCTGGCCCCATTTCTGCGCCCTGGGTTGTTCCAAATCGTGCTCCCGCTGCAGCACAGGTTTTTTCTGCCCTTCCAGATCGGCCCCAATATCTGGAACATGCCCCCCCGGAAAAACCATCGAAATGCTTACACTGTCGGTGTCGGTTCGTTGATTTTTGGGGCCGCAGAAGCCCGTTCAGGAAGTATGAAGAAATCGTCATCGTTTTCAGGACGTATCGAGCGGGAGCCCGTTTCCGCTTTGAGAAGGCGATGTTGGAAGCAGAGCTAGCGGGTGCTCTCCATCAGCCCCGCCTTGTGTGGAGCTTTTCGGGAAACCCAGGGAGCTAGACATGGAACCACCGCCAGACCGGCCCAGACCTCTCGCAGACGATCCATTTACCCTCCAAGGAATCCGGTGCCATGCCATAACCTGATGTGCGGTGTTGCGTTCTGCGCCGCTTTGCGGTGTCATGCTTTTCGTTGCATTGCTTTGTGATGCAATGCTTCACTGCGCAATGCCACGCCATGCTATGGCATGCTACGGTCTGCCGTGCCCTTCTACATCATAAAATGCCGCGCTCCACTATGCATCGCGTGCACTCTCGCGATCATTGCCCTGTTCGACATCCGACTGTGCGAATAGAGAGGATATCTACGCCATGGTGAGGGATGGGGGGTAGGACGTCAGATATGACGCGAGCGCACCTAGCTTGTCCTCCTCCTCCTTTTTCCCCCTCCTCCTCCTCCTCCTCCTCCTCCTCCTCCTCCTCCTCCTCCTCCTCCCCTTCCTCCTTCTTCTTCTCCTCCTCCTCCTTTTCCTTCTCCTCCTCCTTCTCCTCCCCCTCCCCCTCCTTGAAGCTCGAATCTGCGGAGCCGAGGTTCCCCCCCCCCCGGGATGCGGCCCTCGAATGTAGGGCGCTTGGGGACGCGACCCCTTCTGAGGGAGAGGAGGACTCAGCAACATCCCGGCAGCCCCCGAAAACACACCAAAAAACGGGACACGGTGAGCCGCCAGGGGGGTGCGCTGCGGAGCTACGCCTCCCAGCGATGGACGGGCGAGCCCTTCCTCGAAACAGCTCAAAACATCCCAAAGCGTCCCGAAACACTTTTTCCGTCGGCGGCGAGGCAGAGGCGGTCCGCTTCAGCGTGTGGTAATCCGGGGCAACCCAATGGTTGATTGGCTGGCGTGCAAGACAGGGAACAGGACTAGAGCGGCCGCGCAGAGGGAAGGGGAGGAGGAAAGCGTTTCGACACGCCCGCCTCGTTCCTTCCTCCTGGACGGCGCAGAGCGCCGGGCGGCTTCGTGCCCAAGATGCCTGCGGGAGGCTCGGCCACACGTAAGAGTGACCCTTCGCCGGAGGGACCTTGGGTGCGGGCTCACCGGGGTCCCCCTGTCGCGGAACGCGATGCAGCAGTGGCGTCGTGCGCGCTCGTGTTCGGCCCCCCCGCGGCCCCCCACAAACCGCGCACCAAAGGTCACCCTTACCCAGGGTCGCTTTTGGGTGTGGCCGACTGGGGGGCGAGCCGGGGGGAGTATGTGCAGAAGGAGGGGAGGAGGCGGGAGGGGAGGCGCGAAAGAAGGACGCACACGTACATGAATCCACGCTGGTTTCGAGAGTTCGCATTGCGCGAATGTTCGTATCCCGCGGCCGGTCTTGCGGGTCGAGGGGCCGCGTTCATGTAATTACACAGTTGTCAAGCAGTGGCGAAGCGTCCTGGCGTGCCTGTAGCACTACCAAGCAATGTTCTAAGAACCGTTTGTGGTTCCCACGAGATCTTATTAGAACATTTCTGGTTGGGGCTGTCTGGGTTTAACACATCGGGTTTATGCTCTAAGAACAGTGTTATTGTTCTTAGAACATTTTCGGGCTCCAAGAAGATTTCGTGGTAGGACTATAGGAATGCCAGGATGATCGGTCCCTGCTCAAATCCAGGAGGTCCGTTCTCCCCTCCACGTTAGTGAGGCCTCTCGCCACCTTTTCCCTTCTCGCATTTTCTCTGATGAGCCCCCTCGCACTTCCCCTAATGAACCCCGCCGCCCCGCCCAGTTGCGGCGAGAGGGCGCAGGGGGGGCGGCTGCAGGGGGACCCGCGACCGCCATCAGCAGCAGCAGCAGCAGCAGCAGCAGCAGCAGCAGCAGCAGCAGCGGTGGCCGTGCCCGCGTTGGGGACCTCCTGCCCGCTGGCACCACCGTCGGGCAAAGTTGGGAACCCCGCGCTGCGGGCCTGCCCCGCGTCGCTGCAGGATCCGGCCCCCCTCCCCCCCAGCAGTCCTTTCGGCCCGTGCCCCAATGGCTTGACCGCGTGACCGTCGATCGACTAGGACACTCACGCACCCGGCTAGAGGCCCTTCGACTTCCTCGCACTCCCCCTCTTGCCTCGCCTCCCCCTCCACACTGCCCTGTTCCTCGGTCGAGCCTTAGCCCTCGACCTTCTTTCTGGCATTCCTCACCCCGCGCCCCCACGATTGATGTTCCCACCCCTGCACTCACGTATTCCTCTTACCCTCCCCTCTACGCTTTGCCAAAAGGGACAGCATTTGTCCGCTCTGCTTCGCTGTTCCAGCGGGTCCGGTCTCCTCCCCACCCCCCTGCTCCGCATCTGTATATTTATCCCCCTCCCCGTCGTAGCCTCCCCCCTTCTTTTTGTTCTCCTCGTCACCTCATTCCCTACCGCCGCCACCTCTGCGCCTCCCCCCTTCTTTTTTTTTTTCTCCTCTTCACCTCGTCCCCTACCGCCGCCACCTCTGCGGAACGCACTCGGCAGCAGTCGCCCCCGTGAACGCACCACTCGGTGATGAGGGGCCCGCGCTCCGACCATCGCCCAAGTGAACGGTCCACAACAGGCCGCCCTTCCCGCTTTGCCGTTTCTGCGCTTTGGGGTTGTCGTTGCGTCCCCCTCGGCCTCGTCTTCCTCCTCCTCTCCCTCGTTCCCTCGTCGCCCTCCAAAAAAAACGAAATCCGTCGTAACGCTCGGCGGGTGGGAAAAAAAAAAACAGGCCGCCCTTCCCGCCCCTGGCCGAAACGGGCTCCAGGCGCAGTCGCGCAAACCGTTTCAGTAAACAGTGCTTGTTCGGCGGCGGAGTGCCCTGGGGCGCTTCTCTGCCCAAATCTGCTCGGCGGCGGAGTGCCCCGGGGCGCTGCTGCAGTTTTCAATCCAGCCTGCCCAAATCTGCTCGGCGGCCGAGTGCCCTGGGGCGCTCCTGCGGTTGTCAATCCACCCTGCCCACATCTGCCCCGCGGGCGGCCCCGGATCGGTCGATGTGGAACGATCGGAGGCTTCGGAACCGACCGATCGCTCAAGGCTGAATGATCCCCCCGCGGCGTCAGAGAAACCGACGCCGAAGTCGGCGCGACACGAGCCCGCGGTCTCCGCAGGTGCGGGGCACCGCGTGTGTTAGGGGGGCGACCAATGGCATAAACATAAAAGCTCGGAGGTCCGCGCGGACTCTTCGGATCGGCGCCGGACCCCCTTCCCTTGCGCGCGGAGCGCGCCAGGGGCGGCGCCGAAGGCGCCGCCACGGGGGTCTCCAGCGCCGATCCGAGAAAGCCGCGCAGACCACCGTACTTTCAACAGTCATGTCATGGTTCGCCCCCCTGTGTGTGCGCACGTGCGCAGGTGCGCGCGTGCGGGCACCGAGCGCGTTCCGCCAGTTACTCGCGCAAGAAGTGCCTGCTCGCAAACGTGCGACAAACCATATAGCAGCCTTGGGGCAATTAATCGTTTTTTTTTTATTTCGTTTTGTTGTTTATATATATATATATGTATTTATATATATGTATATGTATACATATATATATATATATATATATACACCTACGGCGGATCTTGGCAGTTTGCGAGTAGCTACTCTGCGAGCCGTGGAGCGCGCTCGTCCAGTGCGGGGCGCCCCTCGGCCCGCCCGCCCGCGCCCGCCGGAGAAGGCCCTGGCGCTCGGGCCCGAGCCGGAGCCGGGCCCGGAGGTGGTGCAGCTGCTGCTGCGGCTGCCGGACGGCGGGCGCCTGTCGCGCCGCTTCGCGCGAGGCCGGCCGCCGTGCCGCCGCCCCGCGGGCGTCGGGCGGTGGCGCAGCGTCCGGGCGTGCCCATCGTCGGGCTCACGTCGGGCCTGTCCCTCTACAGGAGGCATATCCAAAAAGAGTCAACAAAAGTACTCTGGGGACGATTGTCGTATAGTTGTTTGACTATTTGGGGGTGTTGTTCGATTTGTTGTTTTCGTCCAAAATCCCCCTTTACGGGGGACATACCCGATCTAACATCAAGCCGCCACCGAAGCATACTCTGGGAACCTTTTGTTTGGTGTGTTTCTGCAAGAGGTCCTTGGAACATTTCTGGCCGGGCCTGTCCTGTTTTAGCACAGGGGGGGGGGGGCCTGCGGCGGCCCACGGCACCTCGAAGGAGGGCAAAACAGGCGCACCCCCGCCGCGTGCCCTTCCCTTGGTGTTGTCCCCCCCGTGTGGTGGGCCTCTCCCGGGAGGCCCTCGTCGCCACCGCTGGATTCGCCTCGAGATCCTGGCCAGGGCGCGCTCCGGGAGAGGTCTGGGGAGTGGCGGTGTCGGTAGCTTCTGGTTTCCCAGCGTTCTGTTGCTCCCATCGTACTTGAGGACCACGTCCCAGACATAAGTTCGAGCACCCGGAGAAGTGTCGAAAGAGTGCCGAAACAGTGTCGAAACAGTGTCGGACGAGTGTCTCCCAGGGCCCGACACGTGAAAACCCTGGAGTTTCGGTACTTTTCTGGTGCTCGAGATTCTTTCTGGTGGTCAAGGCTCAAGTAGATTGCAACATCATAATCCCAGTGCTGGCTCCAGCCAGCCGCATGGGCGGGCAGGTTCGAGGTGCTCGGGGGGTCGTTTTTGTTGTCTTTTTCTGCCTCTAGGGCCGTGGGCGTGTCCCCGGGCCGTCAGGCACGGATCCGCGGCGAGAAGCGGCGCCAGACGGAGGGGTCCAGCAGCGGATTTTGAGTTGGAGGAGGAGGAGGAGTAGGAGGAGGAGGAGGAGGAGGAGGAGGAGGAGGAGGAGGAGGAGGGAATAGGAGGAGGAGAGGAGGAGGAGGAGGAGGAGGGCGAGGAGAGGAGGAGAGGGGGAGGAGGAGACGGGGAGGAGGAGGAGGAGGAGGAGGAGGAGGAGGAGGAGGAGGAGGAGGAATACGAGGGTGAGGATGATGATGAGGAGGATGAAGCGGCCCCTCCTACTGACAGGTTCTCTAAGGTCCCAGCCAGTTCAGACCCTGGCCGCCTCCAGCCTCCATCGCCTCGGTCTTTCCCGATCGGCGACTCGTTCCCTCGATCTCGGCATCCAGGGCCCAGGCCTCCCACATGTGGCCGGGGTAGATTGAAGTCGAGCCTGTCCCTCTACAGGAGGGAAATTCAAAAGTAGTAAAAGATAGTCTGGGGACGATGTTTGGACAATTGTTGAGCATTTTATTGTATGTTTTGATAATTGTTTTTTTCGCCCCAAATCCCCCTGTAGGGGGACAGGCCCAACTTAAGAGTAGATGGGGTCGGAGGATCGCGTCGCATCGCCGATGCATCGGGGATGCGGCTCGGTGTGGAGTCCGTTTTTCGCCACGCCGACGGCGCCCGGCGTCGGTGATGCATCGGCGATGTGTCGACGATGCGGCACGACAAAGAAGTTGTTCAACAAAACCTGAATTCGAAAAACGAATTTCTTGATTTCAAAAAAGGCGAAGTTCTTTTGAATTTAAAAGCCCAGTTGACTTACTTCAAAAAACCCAGGTTCAGAGGTTTGCTGCGCCCGCGTCGGCCGCGGGAGGAGTCTGATCTGCTGGTTGCGGCACGACTTCCGGCGACGCGCCAAAGTCGCGCCCAGGCACCCACGCACCGCCCGGAGCACAGAGCGGCTCCCCGTGCACCCGGCGCGTGCGGCTGTAGGCGGGAAGGGCAGGACGAGCAGTGAGAGCGGCGTGGGGGGACATTGTAGGCAGGAGGAGCAGGAAGAGCGGGAAGAGCGGCGCGGCGAAGGACGAGGCAGGAGGAGCAGGAAGAGCCCAGGAACTCCCAAACATGGCTGGTTTGCCCGCCAGGGCGTCCCAGGAGAGCACCCGCTAGACTTCAAGAGGGTCAAGGAGGGCCCAAGGGGGCTCCCTGATGGCTCCAAGACGGCCCCTGCAGGCCACAGGAGGGCTCCATGGGGCCCTCCAGATGGCAAACAAACTCCAAACATATCGGCGGACTTCGTGATGAATGGCATACTTCTTCGGATTCGCTCCAGAACGGCTTCGGAGAAGTCAACTTGCCCGGGCCGAGCCTGACACTCTCCCAGATATCTTGGAATCCGACTGGGCGTCTGGTCAAGGGGGCCATTGATATCCGTGCGCCATCTGGCGGGGGAATGTCTACATAAAGCCAAATTGCGAAACCTACACAGCCAACGCTTTAGAACAAATGTCCAGAAGCCGAAGTTTCGCACGAACCCCTCGCGCCAATGCCATACCATTCGAACCAACCGCATGCGCGCAAGTTGCCCTCCCCAGGTTTCGACCCGCAACTCAGAAACGCTACGTGCGCATGGCATCCTTTAAATTATTATGACGCCGCGGTCAAGGCCCCATCCCCGCAAGCGACGTACGCGGTCTCCCTGAGGACCGCGGGGCTTCGAGGATCACTCGGCCGATGTGCCCTTGCCCCCTCTTGGGGAACCGATATGCAGGGTCACTTGGCCGTTGGCGCACTGGGTCTACTGGGCTACCAAATCGCGCGAGGTGGAGTGATCATCGCAGCGCAACTTGGTCGCTGGACCCGTGCGCACGTGCGCCGTTGGGCTGTTGCGAGGCGCCTGGGCAACTGCGCCATCGGAATTCGGGCAATCTGCTCCTGGGCCAGGCCCGCCGGGGCAATGGGCCACCTGCCCAACGGGCTGCTTCATCGCTATGCCATTCAATCCCCCCCCCTTGGGAGTATGGCCGCCCAGGCAAGTGGCCCCCTGGCTCGCGTGGGTCAACAAACCTCGCGCCCGCTGGGCCACTGGCGAAGTGGGCCGCTGGGCCACGTGGCTGCTGGAGCAGTTCTGCAGCAGGGTCCCTTGCCAGGATACCCGCCAGCATTTGTGCAGTAGGGCCCCGTTGCCAGGATCTGCCACGGAGCCCCAGACCCACCGCTCGCCGTTCCAGAACATGACAGGGCCCCGCCGCGCAGGGCGCCATGCTGCCGCCGAGCCCGCGGGCGCCGCGCGACTGGGCAATCGCGCCGCAGCGCCAGCGGGGGCGCTCGTCCGACTGAGAACCAAGATTTGGGCCGTTGGGCCATCCTCCTCCTCCTCCTCCTCCTCCTCCTCCTATCCTCCTCCTCCTCCTCCTCCTCCTCCTCTCCTCCTCCTCCTCCTCCTCCTCCTCCTCCTCCTCCTCCTCCTCCTCCTCCTCCTCCTCCTCCTCCTCCTCCACTGCGCCTGTTGGCGAGGCACGGCGCGATGCACGATGCGCTGCCAGGGTGGCCACTGGGCAACTTGCCCACGGCGCCGCTGGGCCGCTCGGGCAGTGACCCCTTGGGCCACAGAGACAGCGCGCCACAGGGCGCTGGGGCGCCGGGATGGCGCGGCCGCTGGACCTCGCGGCCGGCGGCCAGCGCTGCGCCGCTCGCCCCGCGGGCCGCTCGGCACGCCGGGCGCAATTTGTCCGCGGGGGCAGCGGGTCATGGGGATGGGGCGGGGGCGGGGCAGGGCGGAAGCCCGCTCGTTGCTGGGCCACTGTTGACGCGGGCCACGCGACAGGCGCGCCGCGCGGGCGCTCGGCCACTCGGCCGCCGGGTTCGGAAGACACTGCGCGGCTGGACCGGCGCGCCGCGTTGCCAGCAAGTGGCGGCGGGCGAGTCAGCCGCGCAATTGCGCGCCCCGGCGTTTGCGCAGCGCGTCGTCGACTGGCGCGCGGCGCCCATGGCGCCGGGCCGATCGGACAGACAGCCGGCGTCGGGCAAGTTCCATTGGGGCAACTTGGCAACGGCAGAATTGCGCAAGCGGGCGAGGGGGCGGCGCGCCAGCGCGCAGCGTGGCCGCGCGAGGGGGCGACTCGCCGAGAGACCCGCCGAACCTGCGCGGGGGCCAGAGGCGCCGAGCGACTCGCCGTTGCCCCTGGCGGGCGCCGAGCGGACAGGCCCACTCGCGGTGGCGCGGTGGGCGCCCCCGGATCACTCGAGGCGCCTTGGCCAATGGTCGGGAAGGGGCGGAGGGGCGCGGGTTCTGCGACAATTTCCGCGACGGCCGCTGGCCGCGCGCGCATCGTTGAACCATCGCCGCTGGCGTTTCTTCGTCATTCTCGGCCTCCAGGGCCCCCCCCCCCGGCTTCGGGGCCGCCCAGGCAAGCGGTGCAGGACGAAGAGCTGGCCCCGGGGAAGGGGCCCCGACCCTTCGGGGGACGACGTCATGCGAAGAGCGTGGCGCCAGGGCGTTCTGCGCCGAATGCATATCAGGAGGGGAAGGAACACACAGACACAATGAATCGTCGATCCCCAGGAAGATACGGGAAAATATGGGAAGTGGTGGGGAAGACAAAAACTATGAAAATATGGGAAAAATATTGGGAATATGTTTATTAGCGTGTATTGATTTGTCTGTGTGTGTGGGCCATTTCAACATAGGCGGGGGCCAGGCGAATGCCGTGGTTCCCTGGGCGGCGGGCGCCATGTCGCCGGCTGCGCCCCCTTGGCGCGCCGAGTCCCAGAGCCCCGGCGGAGCCGAGCGGCGCAATGGCTTAGCCGCCCGCGCCGCCTGCCATGGCGCAGCGCAATGCGTCGAGCGAGCGCGAGACGTCGCTCGTCGGCGTCCTCCGCGCGATCGGCCTCGCCGCGCCCCGTGGCGCGCTCAGCGCTGGCGCGCGGGGCCCGCTCGAGAGCGCGCGGCCGGGCGACTCGCGGCCCGGCGAGCCCGGCCGCGCGCCCAGCTGGTGGGCCGCGGTGCCCCACGGCGAGGCGCGGCGAGCACCCGCCGCCGCGGCGCTGCGCTGCCGCCGCGGCCGCGCGCGCCCCCTCCGAAACGCGACGAAGGCAGGCGCGGGCGCGCGCCCGAGGGAGGGGAGCCGTGACGCGACCGAGGCTCGCCACGGCAGCGCGTGGACTGTAGCCGCCGTGCTGTGCCTCCTTCCCTTCGCCCCCTCAGACGGCCTCCAGAGGTGCCCAGGGCCCCCCCAAAGGGGTATCCTGAGGGTGAGATACCACAAAAATACCCTAACATCTGCCTACAAATTGGTGTGTAGGCAGGTATGTACGTGCGTATGTGTATGTATATATACATACATCTACGTGTATATGTGTGTGTATGTGTGTACGTGCGTACGTGGTATGTGCACATGTATATATACATGTGCACATCACGGATCCCTATTACTTCTCCCTTGTCCGCCGGTCCTCCATGCCCGACCCCGTCTCCTCAGCTCCTTCCCCTGCTTCCGCTGCCCAGGCGATCGGCTCCAGCGCATCCTTGACTGGGTCGAGTCGGAGCCTTCCTCGCGCGTCCGCGACGGGGAGTTCCGGGTGGTCCAGAAGGAGCTTTTTTGGGGGGGATTGAGGTCGCGGAAGAGTCGTTCAGGAGGAGGAGGAGGAGGAGGAGGAGGAGGAGGAGGAGGAGGAGGAGAGGAGGAGGAGGAGGAGGAGGGGGAGGGGGAGGGGGAGGGGGAGGAGGGGAGGGAGAGAGGTTTTCGGCGCGATCCTCGAGAAGGACTGCCTCAGAGCGGCCCAGCCGCTCACTCTCCCTCTGTACTCCTACGTCCCGGGCTTGCGACATGAGAGAGTGCGCTCATCCTCTTGCCGCTCTCTTCCAGGAGGTACATCTCTCTTCAAGACGATGGGTTGATACGGGGTATAGTCAGGCTTCACCTATAACCCCCCCCCAGCTTCCAGCCTGAAGCATGTCTCCTGCCCCTATGATTGGCATCACCGCATCTCGATGGCACCTCCCCAGGAGTACCGTTTCCCTGAGGCTTGTCGATCTTCGGGATGGGGAGAAGCTCGAGGCTGGTTGACAGGGCACGGGAGCGCGACGCAGCGGCGGCCGCGGGGCGTGCGGCGGCGCCGTGCGGGAGAATGGAAGGCGCGCACGCGCGCGCGCGAGCGAGTGGCGGGGCAGGGACAGGGCAGCGCACGGCCCGCAGCCGGCGGAGCGGCCAGCAGGGCGAGTGCAGGGCATGCCCGCGCGGTGTGCGCAGGGAAGCCGCGCACACTCGGCGGCAGCCGGCTCGAGAAGGGCAGAGCACCGCCCATTCGGGCCCTGAAGAGCCGAGGAGCCAAGGCGGCCAGTGATTGGCACCTCCCGTTCGGGACAGCAGGCCTGCACACGGCAGACAGCATGCCGGCCTCCCCCAGGCAGAGCACCGACCTCGGCGGCGGTTAGCCACGCACGGTCATTGCCAGACGTTGCCCACATGACCGATGTTGCGTACACCTATTTGCCAGGCTGAGGTTTCGTTCGATATTGGGATTACTCAGACAGTTCACTCCACAACCAAGAACACCGCATTGCTCGGCATCGCTCGGACGTGTGCATGTTTCCTTCGACGAGGACCATCGAGGGGCATCCTTGATCATTTGGTGAAAAAACCACGCACGAAACCGAAAAAAAACAGGGAATGGACGTCCGAGCGATGCCAGGATTGGCGGACACGCCACCCGTGCGGCAGCGAACCACTGCACGCGGCACGGCAACTACTCGGACCGCGGCCAGCCTGGGGTGCCTGCCATCTTTCGCGCCCGCGGGTCGCCCGCGGGGCGGTGACCGTCGAACTGCTCTCGGAGCTCGGGCACGACGAGTGAGGACGCCTCGGCCAAACAGGGCGGCACAGGCAGCACACATGGCATGCTGATGCTTGGCATCGCTCGGACGTGTGCATTTTTCCTTCGGCGAGGACCATCGAGGAGTATCCTTGATCATCTGGCGAAAAAACCACGCACGAACCCGAAAAAACACAGGGAACGGACGTCCGAGCGATGGCCAGGATGTGAGAGCAGCCATCAGCGCCACTGGATGATCTCTCATCGGCGTTTAGCGAGGTGGGCCTCCCGCGACGGCCGTGCGACGTTATCAAAGTTGCAGCCGCAACGCCGACACAGCATAGTGGTTCCACTATCACTTCAGAGTGTGGAGTCTTGTCGCTTCGCGTACCCCCACCAGCTCCCTGGGCGTTGCAGACCACCCAGCCAGTTCCACCAGCAGCAGCCCCTCAGCCGCCGCTTCTGAGTGCTGGCCCGGCCGGCTTGCGCGTCGCTCAGTAGCTAATTAGGCTGGCCCGTGCCCGACTGCTTCACGCGTCTGCCCGCGACCAAAAAAAGTACCCCCACCAGCCGTTTGCTAGCCTGCTCGGCGCGCGCGCCCGCAATTGCGGCGCCCGCGGCCCGAGCGACTCTACCGATGCTGCTGGCGCGCTCGCCGCAGCCGCGACAAGAAAAAGTACCCCCACCAGCCCATCCGGAAACAGTGCCCAGGCGAGCTGTAGTGGCGAGAGAAGCGTGTAGGAGCAGGTCGTGGCGGAACGACGAGGGGGGGCAGGAGGGGGGGCTGGGAGGAGGGGGGGAGGAGGCGAGGAGGAGGAGGAGGAGGAGAAGGAGGAGGAGGAGGAGGAGTAGGAGTAGGAGTAGGAGGAGGAGGAGGAGAAGGAGGAGGAGGAGGAGTAGGAGGAGGAGGAGGAGTAGGAGGAGGAGGAGGAGGAGGAGGAGGAGGAGGAGGAGGCAGTGCCATCAAACCGATGCTCGGGATCAGTCTGCGCAGACGCAGGAGACTATCACACGTGCCTTCCCAGATCCCTCGGTATGGGAATCGGACAGCTCTCATGGGCCATCTTGGGGCACGATTGGAGGCCCTTGGGGCTCCCTTGGAGCCAGCTTGGGGCCCTCTCAGGGTCCTCTGGAGAGGCTTGGGAACCCTCCTGGGGCCAGTGGCCAAAGAGAGGGAGGGCCCGGTTGGCCCCGCCCGGCTGGAGCCCGGAAAGTTGCATTTTTGCACCGCTATTAGGGCCATTTTGGGGCCACATGGGCTCTCTCTTGGGGCTCTCTTGGGCCATCGTGGAGGCATCTTGAGGCCTCAGGATACCATCGGACGCGGCGGCGAGATTGCCGAGGCCACACTCGTTGGTTACCCGAAGGTCTTGGACAGGCTTGGACCCGGGGGAAAACCTTGTGTGCCTCTGTGGCCACTTGTACCAGTCTTTGGGGGGACCTCTGGGCGTTTCGGAAGCATCTTGGAGGCCGTCTTGGAGGCCTTCTTGGGTTATCTGGGGCGCATGTTGGACCACACTGGGTGCATATGCTCATCCATAGTGGATCCTCTTAGTTGTCATGGCGCTTCCTGGAGGCGAACCAGGGCGCCAGAAAACAACTCCAGGGGAGTGTTTATACATACGCGTATATATATATATAAATACAAGACTGCAGTGGCGCTTCGCGCCATGCACCTTGGTCCTTGAAGTTTGGTATGCAAGCGGAATGGCAGAAAAGTCAAGCCGACAATTTAGCGATAACTCCTGTTTGCCTTTTCCGGCATCGCCACTATAATGATGTTATTGGTTATCTTTCCTCCATGCTTATTGTTCCTTATTTTCGCCATACCCTGCGCATTCTCCCCATCCTCCTCAGCTCGTTTTTGCGGAGGCTCTTCCTTGGAGAGCATCTAGGGGCCTCACAAAAGTTGTTTCGGGCCTTAAGGCCTTCTGGAGGCCTCCTGTGCGTATTCTGGGGGCCTCCGGGGGCTTCCTCGGGCCACCCTGCCTCCAACCGCCGTCTCCCTGAACGACCGAATTACGATTTGGAATTCTTCGGAGGGTGTCTTTGGGCCATCTTGGGCCGCCATGGGGCTCTCTGAGCGCCATCTTGGACCCGTGTTGTGCCGTTTTGGGGTTCTCTTGGACTGCCTGGAAGCCCTTTCGGATGGTTGTGGGGCGACTTGGGAGCCTCCCAGGCGGCTTCGGACGCCCAGAAGACCGCCGTCTTGGAGCGTCGGGAAGCCGAAAAGAGGAGAACCCCCAAATTCACCAAAAACCTAAAGAAAATCAATGATTTTTGCCTCGGGGGGCCTTCTTGGGAGTGCTCTTGGAGGCCTCTTTGGGGCCGTCCTGGAGGCCTCTTGGGCCATCTTGAGGTCACGTCGGTCACTCTTGGAGCGCTCTTGTGCTGTCTTGGGGGTCTTTGGGACGTCTCCGATGACCCCCTGATCGCCCTAAGTGTGCTGGGAAGGCTTGGCAAAACACCTTGCGAGGCCCGGTGGCCGCTTCGAGGCCCGGTCGGAAGGCCCCAAAGCCCCAGGTCCCGGGAGTCCGGTTTTTTTGGGGGGGGGACGGGCTTTCCCCCCGCCCGGGCTTATAAAAATATAGGAAGAGGAGTATATATATATATGACAAAGGCAGCGTGCTGAAAGTGGAGATGAACTTAGGAAAACCTTACACGCCTCCATCTCACAGCAGAGGAGCATTATGACGCACCCCAGCGTGCCGATGCCACAGGGGGTGGACCTTAGCCGTCGTGGGGAGCCGCGCAGGGCCATCTTCTTCGACCTGTGAGCATTCTTCACCGTCTTGGAAGCAGTATGGGTTTCTGTTCTGGCCTCGGGCCTTGATTCACAGGACCCGTCTTATTGCCCTGGCCCGTTTCCTCGTCGCTTCACGGCGTGTTGTAATGCCTTACGCAATGCACCATCGAGTCTGCGACTCGGCGGACGTCATGCGATCCCTTGTCTCACCTTGCAGCGCAGCCTCGTTGTCGTGTTTTATATGTCATGGGGTCGAGGTGGTCTGTTGCTTTGCGGGGGAAACGGAATCAACATGGGGATACATTGGCATTTGGGGAAAGCTTCTTCAAGTTGCCATGGGCGGGATCCATTGACGGTCCCGCTCCGAGCTCTGGGCTTGGCATCCTTTTCTGTCGGGAACGTCGAACATGTTTGGGCTCAGCTCCAAACGTGAATGCCTGTTGGGTAGATGCGGCGGGGGGAGAGAAGACCTGCTTAGTGTTTCGAAGCCAGCGAAATCACCAGGAAAGGCTTTGCCCCGACGCACACCAACCGCTGGAAGCGAGGTGGCGGATGAGGAGCAGTAATGAACTCCGTCACGAAGGAGAATGACGACAGCGCGCTAGGCGACTTCAGCCCAGAGGGGCTGGTTGGATTTCGGGTATCACAGCTCTGCGTAACAAGGTTGCGAAGGGATGCGATCCAAGCAGCCACATCCCAGAACAGGCTGTGTTCCCACTCGTTGGCAGTCCAGGCATCCCTCGCGATCAGCCCGAGCTAAAGGCACGACGCACGAGTCGGCGTTGCAGCCGGCCGTGCGCGGTCCCGTTCAGCGCGCCGTCGGCACAGCAGCCTCAGCCGACATGGACGGCGAAGTGCAGCCCGCCACGGGGGATTCACGGAGGAACTCACGGCGGCTTCAGTGGAGGCCGATGCCCAGAAGCACCCTGCTTGCCTCCAGGGTGCCCTGGGCTTCTTGGGCTCCGATGGCTCTGCGACGGAAAGCGTGACGCTCCCACGCCCCCAAACCATGGACGCCCTGGGGTCTCAGTCG